ATAATCCCCGCACAGATATAACAGGCTCACTTGTTTTCCTGCAACTAGCTCTGGTATCCAGGTATTCGATCTGGTCCCCATAGCTGTTGAGCATGTTTGTAGTGAATCACGAGGAACCTTCAAACTCGACCACCAGTACCTTCGTAGGATAGTGTGTCGCAGAATCACAGCATCAATGTATAATTCAGGCGTAGTTTCAAATGAGTTGAAGTGAGTCAGTCGATGCGGTTGTGAAAATTCAACTGTTTGTTAGGGCATGTGCTGCGCATGCTTAGTCACCTGCTTGTGAGTGTTAACCAGAGATTTAGGTCTGAGTAAATGTTAAGGGCAACCAAAGTCTCGAATCGAGCTGCGTTGACTAGTGTGGACTCCCTGGTTGGTGTTGACGTGTAAACCTAAATGCATAGTTGAAGACTAGACGATACGGTTGAAAATCAGTGGTGCATAAGCATTCATACATTTTCTCCATCCCAACCGTGGCATCATATTTCTCTATTTTATATTATCCCTTCCTGTCTTATGATGACTTGCCGTTACTGATTATTTCACGTATTGCCTCTCGGTGCATCCTCATTATGTGCTGACGCGAAGTGTGGCAGAGTGTACAGGTACGGGGTGATAGCAGATCCCATGTCGATATCGACGTACTGAATGCGATCTGCAGTTTACATTGATCCACATAGTTGACTGCACTGCTCATGAACACGTTAATAATTCCACTTAACAGTGATCTCAATGCAAAACACTGGTCATCTAACTTCGTCCGTTAGGTTGATGCAAATGTAGTGGGGCACAAACCTAGGTGTGTTACCCGTGAATTCCAATGATAGCAAGCCGAACCGGATTATTTAAATGTACAGTGGTCGATTATCAAATAAAAGACTGGTCTGAACAGGTATTTCAAAGATAAAGCGAGATGACTGATAGTTTTGAGCACCACAAATGAGACCACAGGACATCGATGGACTGAGTTTAATCAATATCCAGACATAGATACATAAGGGTTATTCATTGCCCACCAACCTACATCTTTTGACACTGCTGATATGTTCGTTCGCTAACCAAAAAGTAAATGTCATACAAAAGTCACCCAGCTTTTTTCATATGGACTGTCTATTGCACGGGGATCATATCAGGATCTTACTTGTGTTCGTTTAGGATGATTCAGGTTTGGTGCAGTGAAGCACACAGCAAGGTTTTAAAGCTTATCATTTTAGGATAGATGGATTATCGCCGTACGACTCCCAACACAAAAGAGTGGAAAAAGCTGTTGGTGCCTTAAAAAAATATGACAGCAGTCGACGAAGTCCCTGACTATTGGTCTGAGCCGTGTAGGAAGATGTAGACCACCTGGTTAGGGTTACCAAGACAGAGGAGTCGGTGGTTTAGGACTCTTGGTGACATGGCTGAAAAGGGATCACAATGGGTCAAGTATATTCATTCTTTGACGTCTTCTAAAGCCTAAATATTCGCACTAACTTTTGTCTTCAAATTGATGATTCTCATACAAACTTTGGTATCAGTTTTTTTGTACAGGGCATTTAGGTATGAAACGTCAATAGAAGTTTATTAACCCCGAAAATCTTCGCAGCTTTCGAAACGAGTCTAGAACAGGATATTCTCGAATTGAATCTACTTCTTGAGTACCTGTCTAACACCATTGGCATTAACAATGTGACCCAAAAACTGTAGGGATTCTTTGCCAAATTCGCACTTCTGCGGATTGATTGTAATGCCATATTGTCAAAATCATCCAAAAAGCGTCCTCAGATGTTTCAAGTGCTCTGTTTCAGATGCGCTAGCTACTATTAGGTCATCTATGTATGCACTGACGAAAGGTAATCCATGAAGTACCTGATCTATAAATCTTTGGAATGTTTGAGCAGCATTTGTCAAACCAAACGGCATACGAATAAATTCGAATAGTCCATGCCAATGATAGGCGACGATATGTCAGCAGTTACGAATTCCCACTGGAATGGTGTATGAAAGCCAATGTCTAGGATCAAAATTTTGGTTCCATATGTGGTAATAGCAGACCTGTTTTTGCCGCTTGTAGTACCAAAGTTGGGTTGAGATGGCGTTTTTTGAAAGGTGTGATGGGATCACGCTCACTTCTGCTCCAGTGTCAACCAGAAACTGCGCTCCAGTCTTCCTATCCGTCACCCAAAACAAACGACTGTGTTGTTGTACGCCGGCGACAGCAGTCGTTACTGATCGCCGGCCTTTCCGTTTCCCGATGAAAAGGTTTCAAAATCTCATGGTAACAAACAACAATGTGCTTTACTGCCAAACTTCTTGTGATACCAGCACGTGCTACTTTTAGGTGCAGTTCTACTCGTGGTCCTATCACGACTACGGGATCTGCTTCTATAAAACTTCAGTGACTGTTGGTTTAATTGCAAAGCCGCCAGGTGTCCTGTAAGTATGTCGATCTTCCTCTCTAAAGCAGCTACTCGGTCGTTTTGCGTTGGCTCAGCAATGCTTTCAACCTGTCTGGGCATCCTTTCTTACACACAGTCAGCGATTTCAGCCAATCTGTCAGTGTCAATGTCCGCATCTCTGACAGCTAATATCTGCTCAGTGCATGTAGGAAGTCTCTGCAGCCAGAGCTGGTAGCATAAACGGTTGTCTACGTTCCTATCTTTCAGCAGACTTTGCATATGTCGCTTAAGTTGTGAAGGTGTTCTGTCACCGACGCATATGCTACTTAGTAGTTGATCGACAGCCTTCTGGTCAGATAACGAAGTAGCTTTCAGCACCTCCTGCTTCAAAACATCATAAGGTGTGTCTGGGTGGGGCTTTAGTAGTGTCTCCCTTACTTGTTCAGCCACTTCTTCCGGCAAAATAGAGCTTGTGTATCCGAACTTTGTGTTTTGTGAAGTTATATGATTGGCCATGAAGAAATGTTCTAGACGGACAAACCACAATTGGGGGTCATTCAACTTAAAACAAGGCATAGGAAGACTAATGGCATTCACGGACTCTGCATTCGAAAAGTCTTGATTATGAGAGTTTAAGGACATGAGTACTGTTACAGCAAGAAGAAAATTATTTTAAGAACTTAAACAATAAGAGTAGAAAAAACACAATAAACAAGTAGGTTAATGCCTATCACCAAGCAGCTGGAGATATCCTCAGTACATATATATATATATATATATATATATATATACACCCGTATTGTATACAGTTATTAATGACTGTGGTTGCAGTACTCAATTGAAAACAACAATAATATCCGCCAGTAAAACTTGCGAGAGTTTACTCACGTCGGACCCACCTGTTTGTCGAGCTCTGAAATGTGACTCCAAATTTATATACGCGCCCAGATACACTATCGCTTGTTGATAATTCCCGACACTGCTGATCCACCTGCGTCAGACGGTGTAAATATCAGGAGTTAACGCGAAGTATGTATCAAGATGTTGTATTGGTCGACGAGCGAGCAAAAGAGTGTTTTCATCAGTACAACTAAACAAAAATGTTCAATGAGTTGTTACATATATCAACACACTGCAGTGAATTAAAATGCTAAACGGTTTACAAGGCTAACGCTTATGAAAGAATATTAAGTACTATGCATAGGCAGGAGGTTTTGCAAAATATTGAGACAGGTAGAATGTTTGGTGGTACGTTGATGTTCTATGAGTTGTGATATTTTGTCTTGGACTTTCCATCACCAGGCTTGATGATATCCTAACCATTATCTTCATGAATGGGTAGCAAGTTAAAGTAGAAAGTATAAGAAGGGGGAATAAGCGAATCAGTAGACAGTCTTTTGCTGGTGATTCCATTTGTAAAGTTGTACATCACAAATTTATACAATTTTCTGATGAACAGTGGCTTTGTTGAGATAATTAGCCAGCAGAAATGCATAGATGTACTTGAAATGTTTTTCGGGTTTTAAAATCATAAAGACTTTTGTGAATACTTAGAAACAATCAAAGTATAACGAAAGTTGCAAGATAACTGAATTCGGATAAAACATGGCAAGATATTCAATGTTACCATAAAAAGCATTGAAACGGAAATGACCAGAAATTGCATGAGATATGTAGTGAATATAAGAAAGGAGTAATTTAAAATTAAATAACTAACTTCAAATTATGATGAGAAAGAATGGGGCTGAACACGTTTCCTCTTTGTACACACATCAAGATCTTCTAAATGGATAGCTAAGACTTATGTGATGCAAACAATACAAAGAAGTACGTCCTTCAGCAGTTTTTTAAATACTGTCAATTACTTTGAGAGCAGATTCGCTTGAAATAAAACAATCAATGTTGCTAGAAATATTCTCTTCATTGATTTACTTCTTTTCTTCTTACATTAACATGTACATGTACATGGTGTAAATGTTTTTGAATTTATTAAGGTTGTGCATAGATAGCTATTTTTACTTGACAGTACTTTAATATTCATTAGTTACGATTAGTCCCTTTTATGAATTTGGATAATGTAATTAGAAGACGTAGATTATCTGAAAAATGTGATGTATTAGCGCTATACATTTCGAACAATCCGATCACACATTTACTTGTTAAGGCATTATATATGAAAACTGGAAGTGGGGGAAGGACACATATGACATACAGGAATTCAATAATAAGAAAGATAATGAGAGGAATAAAAGATAAGACTTGAAGACAATCTTGGTAATACGATAAAATAAGCATTACCAAGGTAGGCTTAATGTAAGGACAAACTGTTTTTGCACACACAATGGGGGGTTAAATTTATTTATGGCTAGCGCCTCACTTCCAGTTTTCATATATAATGCCTTAACACAAGTAAATGTGTGATCAGATTATTCGAAATGTATAGCGCTAATACATCACATTTTTCAGATAATCTACGTCTAATTACATTATCTAAATTCATTAGTTAGTTCACTTATTGCTTTTATCTAAGCTGTATTTAAAAAATAGCAATTTTCATGAAGATGCTTCTGCACATTTAATTATTTAATTGTTTCATTTATATTTTTATTCGTTTAGGTTAGTTGTATTGTCGGAAGGAAACAGCTTTTCTTGTTAAATCTTGATGATATAGATAATCCAATTGAACTTTCTTTTCGTCAAGCCTATGGTGATCTAATTGCTTACCAATGGTTTGGTGATGGTTACATTATAGTTGGATTTTCCAATGGTTATTTCGTGGTTGTTTCAACACAATCGAGTGAAATCGGGAAAGTAAAATTTATCATTTTTTTTCAACGCTAACTTTTATTGTTTTCTCAAGGAAATATATCAGATTCATGATCATAAAGACGGTTTACATGATATTTCAGTATGCACGGTTTTAAACCGTTGTGCAACTGTAGGCGACCATTGGTGAGTCCACATGTCTTTCTTTAAAAATAACCACCCCTAACTTACATTGTTAACATTCATTGGGGATATAATATTATATAACATCCATACTTAACTTTGTGAACTACTAGTTTCACGTTAACTCAATATCTTTTTACATAACAGATACTTAAAAGAGGAAGAAGAAAGATTTGAAAGTAGAGACCAAACAAAAGGATACAGTATTGGTATAATACTATAAGTATCCAGACTATAATTCCGTTGACTTCACGATCGTAATTTCACCTAGGAAGACTTTAAAAGGGTGAGCATTGGGTGAATTGTTTATAAAGGGGATATATTTGTAAAATCCTAAAGAGGTAAACTAAGTTCTCCGAAGAAGCGGCTTCCATGAGGTTTCGAAATGTCGTCACTGGGATTTTACAAAAAATATGTCTCAATGTAATCCCAACCTGCCAAGAGGAACGAAACAAAACTCTTTTAAGTACTTCATTGTGTAAGCCATAGCTTTTTCAGTGGAAACTGTGGATTTCGTTGCATGATTGTGAATGATTTTGAAGCATTTTAAGGATTTTATTTGAATAATCTACATTTGTTTACAGATATATAAGGTTTACTGTCAATAAACACATTGATTTAACGTCCTAATTTGGCCATTCCAAGGGTTTTCCCTGTTTATTCTTACTTCACTCAATGCTCAGTGTTACGGTAGATAGTGAACTGTTGTTTTTAGAGTAATTTTAAATTTATTTCACTCACTGAAGATTCATAAGTGTATTGACCGTCTTGTCTAGTTTCGCCAAGAAATATTTGTTTAGCATTAACACTAATGCAAAAGAGCTCGCAACTGAATGCCTGCAACCTCCAGCATCTTAGAGCTGTAAAAAAAGATCTAAGTGAACCAGTGCGCAATGGTCTTCGAATAAGACATTTAAACACATTATTTATTGTGGTAGTTTTCAACTGTTGTTTTTGTTTAGGCAAGGTTTTAATTTCTACTTCAGTGTTCTTCAGTTATTTAGTTTAAAACACAAAGTAAAAATTGTTGTGATATCTATTAAAGCCAAGTGCCCGGTTAAAATTAACTTGAAAGTCATAAAAGTTAAGACATGCGTCTACTAATTCTTGTATATTTCATAAACTCACATTTTTACGTGGTTATATGTGTCAATGAACTAAACTTAGTTGAATTTTTTAAAGATCTACACATACAACTGTATGAATGTAACTTTATTTCATAAAGTAGAAGTTATTTAGAAAGGGATATTAGGTGGAATTCACAAGCAGTATGAAGTTTAAATTTATGTTTCAAGTATCTTACACAAGTCCATTGCTATTAACCAAACTCATTATGGTATAGAACCATAAAAAAGGGATTTTAACAGAATTTTGAGGTAACAGAGACGATATTCAGTTTAAATATGAGTATGACAGTGGGTTTTTTTTCTCTGAGCCTTGATATTTGATTGTGGTCGTTTCATCACCAGACTGCGTGACATTATCAATAAAGGAGGACGAAACATTTTTAGAGATTGGATGAATGGTTAGTTAGTTTTCTCCCTGGATTTAAGCCTTTCTCAGATATAAGTTAAGAAAGCAAAAGATGATTATCATAAGTCCACGTAAATTTACTTGGTTCCAGCGGAGAAGAATGTTTGTCATGGGTTAGTTGTGCTCATTGTTTCTAAGACGTTGCCGAATTATTCTTTTCATCCTAGGTAAATGGTAGGTTGGGTTTACGTCCAAATGTCCCATCGTAGATTTTTCATTTGAATGCCTAGCTTCCGAAAATTGTCTTATAGTCTTTTACCTTCCATGTTGTTAGAAATCCATATTACGCACAAAAAAATTCAGAGAAAAAAATTTCTTTACGAAAAGTCTTTAGAAGTTGTGCATTCATAGCTATGATTAAAGCTAGTGGGTCAACCCAAGGTCACCAAAAGTTGTTTCTAAGGTTTCAAAACAATTATGACTGGAAGATCAAAACAAGGTAATCACAAAGTGATTGCGTAATAGTCTATGAAATAATAGGAAAAGGAAGATAAGTGGGACAGTCATATTGGAAGTAACAATTATAGAGTGAGGAGAGCGGGTGGAAATAATAGTGCTGATGAACAAAATAAGTAAATAAAGATAAAACAAGTCCTGGGTGGATAATATCCAAGATAGAATTAAAGATTAGACGTAACTCTTTTGAACGCATTGATCAGGATTGAGCTGATGAATTACCAAGGTTTTTACTGTGTTTTAGTGGCGAGTCCTCTCTCTTTTCAAATTGTTTCACTTAACTTTATAAATGACTTAGAAGGAAGGTTTTGATGGAGCAGAGTGACCAGAACTAAGCAGATGCTTAAAAATCAAGCTGTCCATAGCTGTGTACTTTCTTCTAGACATCTACTCAAAATGGTGTTTGAAGATACACCGGAATAGAACACGCTGTGTGCGGCCTGTGTGACCAACTCCTTGACAACTCATCAGCTCAATCCTGATCAATGCGTTCAAAAGAGTTACGTCTAATCTTTAATTCTATCTTGGATATTATCCACCCAGGACTTGTTTTATCTTTATTTACTTATTTTGTTCATCAGCACTATTATTTCCACCCGCTCTCCTCACTCTATAATTGTTACTTCCAATATGACTGTCCCACTTATCTCCCTTTTCCTATTATTTCATAGACTATTACGCAGTCATCTTGTAATTACCTTGTATTGACCTTTCAGCCATGATCTTGTAATCTTGTCAATGATGTTTGGCAACTTCGTGTTGACCCTATAGTCATACTCGTCTTATAACTCTGTTAACAGTTTCTGATGTCCCTATGTTGACCCAATAGCCATCGATGGACATATTTTCGCTTCAACTTTGATTATGATTGTACAACTTCTGATGATGATTCGTCGAAAAGAAATTTTTTTTCGCTGAATTATTTTTTGTAAATATCCACAACTCAGATTTTCATTTCATCTTCAATCATCACCCAGTATCAATGCAAGTCTGTCAAACCTCTGCTGTCTCAGATAGTCAAACTGATAATATTCTCATTATCAAAAATATTTTGGATTGCCTACATGCATCGGAACGAAGAATGATACATAATTTTTGTTCAAACTGGTATTCATCATGGGACTGACTTCAGTTGGAGGAACATTGAAAACCTAGGAGCACTGGAAAGCTGTTGCGTCCTAGTATGGGACTCCCAGCAGTGCGTTCCCATGACTCCGCAAGAGGTCAGACCCAGAACCTTTTAGTTCTGTGACCAGCATGACTCCAAAATTCCTGGGTTCAACTCCTTGCGGGATCATGGGTACGCACTGCTGGGGAGTCCCATACTAGGACGAAATAGCTGTCCAGTGCTCCCAGGTTTTCAATGTTCCTCTAACTGAAGTCAGTCCATGATAAATACCAATTTGAAATCAATAAATCCCCACAAACCCCCAAACTGAACATAGTTTTTACTACCACTCGAAATTTTCGGGTCTGTGGCATGAATAGGTGAATAAACTAGGGAACTTAGTGTTGTCGGCAATCTTCGCAGTTGATTTGATTTACCACCTTAACATATAGTAGTGGACCTTTTGTTCCACACAAAATATTTTTTGTGTCAATGTAATGCCGAAAGCGTAAATAAATCGGATTACTTCCCCTATGACGTCTTATAATGCGGGCTGAGTTAATCCGCTTTGTATCGCCATGACCATCTGCTTTGTACTATTTTGGTCAGCACACCCGGTTGAAGAAGGGTTGACTGTTCATTAACCTTTAGTATTTTATACAGATTTTTGTTAAGTAGCAGTTTCCAGCTCTTTAAGGTAGTCTGTATCTGTAAATAAAATATTTTCCAGGTGATGGAGAGGGTACTATTTCATTCCAAAATTTTATCTTCATGTCTGTGACTTTCGTGCACACTTAAGGTTTTAAAATTCTCTCATACTCTTTGGAGATGATCAGTCCCTCGTTTAAGAGCTTAATTTTTTCGGATGTCCGGTTGATTAATTTGAACTTTTTTCTATTTCACTAGCCTTGGGAATCACGAGTATTGTCGTTGTATCGAATCCTAGTTCTCGATCAAATGAGCCAAGTAGTTGTCATCTGCAGCCATTGTATCAGAAATTTAGGCATCAATTCTGATACTAAAGATTTAAAAAGTCTCGCTTTTGTCTTCTTGATGGGGGAGGGGGGGAAATTGTTTGTAGAGCATAAACCAATTAGTGTTCACTTTACTTGACAAGATGTTTTGGCTTTTTCTGCATAACCTTCTTGATAAAAAGGATGATGTTATCAAGTGTGAAAGTAATTGTAGAATTGAAATATCTATCTTAGATATATCATGTCAACCGTATAGCCTTTGTGAGATCCATTTATCTTCCTTAGTCACACTTATAATTTTGCGATTTGATCAGCCTTTCTTGGATTTTTTTAATTATTGGTGAATTTGGCTGTTTAAATGTTTGTTGATTGCACCCTATCTCCTAGCTGATGAATAAAATTTATAAATTTGTAAAATTTCAGTGATATAGATATTTAATTTTCAAACTATCTACAGTATGAGCCAAGAATAGGGTAGTTTTTCTTAAGCTAACCAGATATACCGTAATCACTACACCAGTATTTTTGAAACTGAAGCAGAAATTCAGCTTTCAATATGTAGTAAGAGTAAAACTCGTTCACTGTGCTATTCACTCTAATGTGTTTGAAATCGCACTCTTAAATGGTATCCCCTGAGATCACTACATAAACTTTTATGAATACCCACGTAGTTTAACCACATCAAAAGTTTTAATTGGTCACATTCTGTGTTACTTGTTTTTATCAACAGAGTTTTCTGTACCAACAAATTGATTGAAAGTAGTTTCCAGTTTTGAGACCACCATATACTGTAAATGCCATCAAGCAAAAAGAATCTTTTCCATCATCTATTGGTCACTAGATTCCTTCTTGGAAATAATTAATTTTCTGGTGGTTTTAATTAGAATAAATTACCTAAACTCTCAGGAAAACCCTCAGATTACTATTTTCCCTATTCTTTATGTTATCTTTTCTGAGGATTCTTGAACAGCCATCTTATTTATTTAGGAAAACGTGGGCTACCTGGTTGAGATACCGAATGTGATAGTAATCAGTGATTGGATAACCTTTATTAAGTGGCTGAAAATTGACTAAATTAGCTCAGTGGTATGTACACTGAATAACTAAGAAATTCCGAGCATCTTATTAACTTTCACAGTCTGCTCCACTTTCATTCTCAAATTTTATTTGTTTATTTAGGTAATTTATTCTGCACCTCGTTTGAAAGTGTTGAACCTTAAATCAGTGTAATTTTGTGGGATGATCAACTTTTATTGTTCTGTCTGAATTATCCTCACACTTTAATAGGTTAAAAGTAACTGTAAACGTGTTTTCGATTCATTTGTTTTATATAAAGTGTAAAAATTCATGATCTTCAAAATATTCGTGAACTTACCGCAATAATCGAATTAGAAGAAAAAAATGATGAAGGACTAGTAAATAGAGCCAAACAGATGAAATCGAAACTTATCAACAACAATTTGTTCACATGTCAACTTCAGTGGTCAGATGATGGACAGTTAATGGCTATTTCGACACCACAGAAGCTCTTACATGTTTTTCTGAGTCAGCTGCCAATGTTAGCTGCTTTATCACCGCCGAATAGTACTGGTTTGTTAGCACGATTAACATCTTTGCTCGAGGTCACAGTTGAACCTATTCCATGCATAAAAGTGAGTGATATATATAGTTTTTACAGAAATCATAATTTTATCTGTCTCTCTTTTAGTCTTGTCTTATAATATTGAAATATTGCTGATGTTATCTATTCCATTTTCCAATCTAACCTTTTTTGTTGACTTTCAGTACTACATTCTGGTGTCAACAATATGCAGTAATGCTATGCCTTATTGATGTTTGCTTGTCTCAGCATTCTTGTAATTAACATTAGCCCTTCATATGCCCGTTAGGGAAACATTAAACCAGAAGTCTGGATTGTATTCCAAGCAATTAGCACAATGCCCTAAACCATGAAACCTGAATGTCTTAGGTTCGATTCCTTGAGGGGTCGAGGGTGCATATTGCTGGTAAGTCCCAAGCTGGGAATAAACAGCTGTTCACTACTCCCAGATCTTTAATAATTGCCCAGCAGATATCAGTTCGTGATAAAATTCTACCCTGAAGTCAATAAATCCTCAAAAATCTCCAAACTAAAATCTGAAAACTGTTGATTTGAATCTTCTGTGCTCTCGGTTCATTCTCAATCTCAAACTAACTTCTGTTAGTTGACACTGTAGTTTTTATTTTATTCAACAAGATGATTTGGAAGGAAATGTAGATATGGTTGTTTTATATGGGAACCAATATCTAGTGTTTGTAATTTATCAGTCTTATTATTTGTTGGAATTGAAGTGAAGCAATTGTTAATTAGTTCTGTTCATGTTAACTGCAATCTCATTGGACGCTTAATTCCTAAAAGAATACCGGTACAAACGTAACGAGCAGCATAACATTCACATCCTGAAGTATAGATTTTTTTTGCCATCATTTCAATATTCTTAGTTTCTTTATGGCGTCGCTTCGGTCATAGCCTTCATCCTAAACGAATTATAGACAGAACAAAAACAGCTACAGGATAAATTCTTTCCCGTTGGATTATAAAATAGTAAACTTCTTAAACAGACTAGCCAGTTCAGAAGTGATTTGTTACATCAAAAGATTTGAACAAATCTACGGTTATTCCGAATAAAAATACAAATCAAGATTTATGAAAGGTTTATGTTAATCATTAGAAAACGTTTTAGCTTGTCTAGGTTGGATTTTTATCTAAAATAAATATTCTGGTTAGTGGGTTTTTCAATATCATCCAAGACTTTTTTATCATTGCAAGCCAAGAAAAGATTAAACCAGTTTAACTAATAGTATATAACTTGAGTAGTTTATATGGTAATATTTTAGTGATACTACTAATGAAAAAATGAATACTTAACCCAATTATCCTCATTATTTGTCCCTTGGGTTCCTAGTGGAACATAAAGCTTCAGTAGTATGCCTGCATTGCACTCTCTTCGCTGCAGTCTTTTCAAACTGGCGCCACAACTGCTCACAAGCTTTCATTTCTTCCTCACATGATCTCCTTCATGTCACTGTTGACTCAGACACCCAACTCATCATTTCCCCTTTGGATTCCACTCGAGGGTCTGGTGCGTTATGTCACCAGTCGACCTTCTCAGTGTATGTCCAGTCAATTCCAGTCTATCTCCACTTTCGTCTGCAAATTTGTTGGGTGATAGGTTATTGGTTGGCTTGTTGCCAGCCAGCCAGCCAGAGTTCCTTGTTGCTTATTCTTATTATTCTGGCCATCTGATCTTGAGTATCGAGTGAGCGTAGGTGGCAACTGTTGATGAATGTCTGTAGTTTGTTGGAAATGCTTTTCGTAATTCCCAGTGCTTAACGTTTTAATTCAACAAACTAATGGGATATCCACTGTCTTTGCGTGCAGATATCTTATGAATAGGATGTACAACATTAAAAATACCCATGATGAGTTAACTTAGATAATATTCCAAGATATAACAAAGAAATATGAACCACTAAGTCGCGTAGCTTGAAAAGTATTGAAATATTCATACTTGCATTGTACATCTGTATTCCTTTTCCAATATAGGTAACTTTATTTAGAAATTGGTGAATAAACCACCCTAGTGTTTAACATACTTCAGACAGTAAATGTTAGTAAGATGTGATTTTATAACTACCACTAACAAGCGGTAAAATTTAAGATGCACCTTTAACTCTTGTGGAGCTTCTTATCTAGATATATTCGTAAACAGTTAACTTATTATGGTAGGCCGGAAGGAAGTATCTTGAACAAAACACCAAAATATTAACAGCTGCTGATCAGTTCAGTTCTATAAATCACCCAGAAGAGTTTATATTCAGTAAGTCGCTAAATAAGTATTCAAACGAAAAAGATGACGGAAATGAAGTTTGAAACTAGTCAGCACCTGGATCTCTGATCTCAATCTATAGAGTTTCGAGTCGATAATTCCAAAGTCATTGGATGCAATTCTGCCGCGTCCCAGGTTATTATTTCACCTTCAATCGTCACTCGTTATTTAAAAACCTACCTTAAGTTAAACAGCTGAGATCAGCAGTCAAAATTCTACGATTTAGTGTCATTTCTTGATTTGACCATCGCATACTTCATCTAAACTTCTTTCAGTGTAGCTGACATCTTACAGATATATACGATACACTTCATTAAATAGTTTGCTTTTACCTAAATCTAAAGCTTAACCTTACTGTTACACACTCCACTCTGAATGAGAGATGATTCAAAAGCTTCAGTGATCTGTTAGTTGAGTTCTTCTGAGAAATATCTCGACTCCAGTAAGCTGAGACAGCACTGAGTAACTGTATTGTGCAAACATCAGTATTTACGTGTTTCACTAAAGTACTATAATTAATTTGTGATATGAAAGGAATATAATAGTTTTTTGAATTGACGTATATAACTCGTGACTGAGTCTAATCTTTTCTCTCGTGATTTTCTTTTTCTCCTAGAATAATAACTTGCTAAAGATCTACAGTGATTGGCATGTCTTAAAGATTGAAATCGAACCAACATTTATCGGTCTTGGACAAAAATATCTCTCTGTTGGAATTAATAATCGTGCTTGGTTTTATGAATTGACTAATTCAGGTGAGCTTTATTTCCTTGATCATAACTTTTCTTTCTTTGTTCTTCCACCTTCTTGATTGATTTAATTGCAGGAACTTGCTACTTGAATAGAAAAACCCAATCGGCTATTTTACTTTTGCAGAAATGTTACTTCGTCATTTAGTGTAAATTCACTTAAACATTTAATTGATGGTTTCATTTAATAGTTATGAGATCCTTTAAGCGCCGAATTATATATATATATATATATATATATATATATATATATATGTAGATGCACATTGAACCCTATCATTTATCTCAAGTTCATGCCACAAATTATTCGTAGTAAACTAAAGATTTTATGGTCATTCAGAACAGTACATATTAACATTTTCTTTAAAAATACTAATGTACTCAATATGAAAATTAAGCTGCGTAGTATGAATGCGGCGATATTTTAAACAGCAGGTCAGTAATCTCATTTGTTACAATCAATAACTACGCTGAACTGAGTGCACTGTCAACTATATAAATATGCAGCTATATGAAAACTTTAACACTTTTTCGACACACTAGTATTCATAAGCATTTAACACCAGTAGATCGTATATTGAATTGAAACTTGACATGAAGTTGCTGTGTTTTATAGTCTTGATATTCTTTTTGCAATCAGTGTATGTACAAGAGCCCTCTAGGCGGGAAGGAAGCAGTATTTTCACGAAAAACAGTACATCTGAAGTTGATGTAATCAGTACCTTTAGAAACCACAGTGGACAAGCAGACCGTAGTGTGTCTCACAGCAGGTCACATGATAACAAAGGCAAAATTGATGCTTACGCAGTGTTAGGAAAGTCCTCAAAATCTCGAAAATCCCGAAGGAGTGGGAAACTAAGCGCAAAAGGTAGATTTAGATCACGCGGAATCGGTCGATATGGTACCATCGGATCTGAAGATAACTATTATGTGATTGAAGGCAGTCTTGACAGATATGGTCGGAAAAGACCCACAAGGTCAAAATTCAAAACCAAAGGAAGGGAGAAGAAATACAAGAAAAAGATTGTTGATAATAAATTTAGTATTCTTGGAAAACTGCTTGATGAAGCTTCACACAGAAAAATGGCTGGCTACGAAGCTAATGGTTCTCATTCACGTTTAAATCTTCGTGACAAGAAGCGGAAAAGTTCTGATGGGACGCTCAGTACAAGTAACAGTGGGTCCGATGGTTCAACAAGTGTTTCGTCTAAGGATACTGATCAAAGCAGAGAAGAAATACATGAAGCGATGTTCTTTTAACAGTTATGTGTTTTTTATTCAGAAAGCAAAATTATAATTACAGTGGTAAAAGTAATAACACTATATAAAACTTTCATCAGTGAGTGTTTTCACTTAGAACTACAAGCATATCATGGATGACATAAGGAATTATTAATAAATAAAGCGAATACTTTATAGTCCATTGACAGATAATAAACCACATTGAAATGCCTAAACAAAGCAGTGATCAGATTTGAATCTAGTGCAGCAGGTGACATAAATGTTTAATCATGATTACTAAGTTATGAAAGTTGACTAGTTAATTTTTCACCTAGGTCTTGTCGTATGAAAGTTAAGCTAACAGAATTCCAGGACAATAACCTATAGATTTTAGATGTGAATTCTACTACAAATCAGGGTTTCATCCAACTTCATCTGTCATTTCCGTACATTAAGATCAGTTTGCTAATCAAAGCTGTTTCAGATAGTTTAATGAATCATTGATTCTACTTACAAGCTGATTTTTGTGTTAAACGTTAGCAAATTTGATTAAGGTTTTAATTAAACAGCAGTTAGCTGCGATAAACAGCATCACAGCATCGAGCTAACGCATTTGTATGTTTATAAGTGACAGTTTCAAACCTTCACCGAAAGTGTTCCGATACTGTAATTAAAAAAACTGACCACTATGTATCACCTCAACGAGGAGTTCATGTAGACAAATGTGAAAAGAGAATTGGTATGTCAACAAAAGTTAGCAGAGTCTTCATAACTTAGTTGATTATTGACTGTATACATCTGAAGTTAATGCTGAATATTTCACCAGGCCCAATGATGAAACATTGACGACAAAATATTAAATATTAGAGAATATCAAACCGTCATTACTATGTACATCTAATTCATTTTCACAAATTTTGAGCCAAATTACTAAACGTCTTCAACTATTAATTTCTACAGCCTTGATAAGCATAACTAGATAGCTTACAACTTTTTAAATAGCTTAGGCCAATAGTGTATACACTATACAACATTATACTACATCTCTTGTTTATCATGCAAAAGTATAAAATATGACAAAAATTAATAATAAACTGGTTAAGTCATATCAATATCTAGGTATAATACAAAAAGTTATTACGGAATAAAGAGACACATTGAATGGATGAGATATACTAAAAGTACATTAATCTCACCTTTAGATAGATCAAAAGAAAGAAAATATATCAGGTAATCAAAGTAAGAATGAGAATTTATGCAGATGATATATTAGTCCAAAGACAGTACAAAAGAGAATATGAGTTGAATTAAAAATAGCCTTAAAGAAGAAAAAGATCAATCCACTTTGTTAGGCATGCAAGGATCAGATGTGTACAGTTGAATAGCAAATGCTTCTATCATAGAAAATGCATGTTTCGTTATTTTTGTCATTAATAATAGTTCTATGGTTTTTACCGATATCATTCATCTCAAAGATACTGCTTAATTGAATTGAGTTTCTGTTTAGTAAAGTATTCATCATTTAGGATAATTCTCTTCCATCATCAATAAGTTATCTTTTATAGACTAAAACATTTCTGGATAAGGCAACAATACTGAATAAGATTATACTTCTTGCCACATCCTTTCATATGGGTATATGTGTATGTCGAGTAAAATGATTTTCTAAGTGTGATACATAAAGCTTTTATTCACGAATCCTAATATTTCATTTTGTCACTAAATCAGCTAGTACTGAAAATGTTGACTGCGCTTCTGTTCATTTTAAATAATTTCCTTGTTTGATAGTTAACGTGACACCGTACTTTTTCTACTTCACTGATTGATGAATCAGGTTTGTTAAATTAGTAGAAATGCAGAAATAAACTTGGAAAGAGTTCTAATGAGCGCTTTGAACTTCTTAATCATGCTTTGTGTAAAGTTTCAACTTTCAAAGACTCATTTTTACTTAATTTCTCTGTAAACAGAAAGGATGTTAAACTTTCACAACGTCAAAATATAAAAAGACTAGTTAACGAGAATTTACATTCATAGTGTCCTACAGTTTCATAACTAGAATTGTGCTTTTTTCAAATCTCAATTAACCCCATATATTGACTATCTGGATAGTCAAATGCGTTTTGTTAAAATCCTTTTGTCTGAAAAAAGAGGTTACGATTTTCATTGATTATCAACGGTAACGGTCACAGACTGACGACACCAACAAAATAGGCAAAAGTAGGCAAGTTCTACAGCATGGAGTTCTAGGGATTAATTCTATCAAATATCCTTCTCGTATAGTTCATACCAAATGTATCAGGGCAAAGGAAGGTTAAATAAGTACTTTATATCGTTTTACCATGTCTCAATTATGACACTGATCTTTAAGAGGACGAATATGGTAATAAAAAGTTAATATTTTAAATCTTTACGAACTGTGGTCAAGATTTGATCGAATAGTATCGAAAACATCAGACGTTGAGTGAAAAGCTGGCAAGGCAGAAGCTCGGACCAGATTTTAATACGAGACGTTGGAGTTATTTTATTTCAAACACGCTATGACTTACACAAAAACTATATCTAGTGTTAATATATTGAAATTTAATACAAATGATGTTACAGTGGAGAAATGATTAGCTGATATGGATCATTATCAAGATAGTACTACTGTGCTTTCACTAAAGCCGAATAAAAATGCTTTTCTTCATTATGGTCCAGTTAAGCTTTGTTTTTTGCCAATAACCTGAATCTTTTACCGTGCATTTTATACAAAATAACTATACTACTATTTAATGATGCAGTACCGAGGCGTTTTAGGAAGATAATCTTGATAGAATTCTGCGAAAGCAATTTAATTCATGAAGACATTTCAATGTATCCATTTTACAGGACACCAGTAAATGGGAGTATTTTAGATAATAGAACTACGAAAGGCACTAGTCAATGAAATGACTTAAACAAGAAATTGAAACATTTAAAAATACACTACTAACTAATAATTATCATTAGTTGTTCAGAAATGGTATGAACACGGGAAATGAAGTCGTAGCAGTAATATGAACGGTAGCGACAACAGAAGTAGAAGGGAGTTCAGGGCTGCCATTAAGTTAGCATATAGGGAAGGAACATCAAAACTTTACGCATAATTCTGAACATGGCTGGGATTAAGGTGGAACTCAAACCTACAAGCTCACTCAATGACAAACTTTATCGGCTCAAGGATTCTATCGACACAACTAGACAAAATAATTTGATCTATCAAATACAGTGCGATGACTATGATATCAAACTAACCGGTCGAAGTCAGTTAGATTATTGGAGAGTAAGAATTTAGCGAATTCTGGGACGATAGGCCCCAATAAAAATTAATAATCTGAAAAATGCTTGACTATCGAAATCCCTATAAAATAGGGCGGGGTAAAGCAACTGTACTCATGTCTAATATTGTTATGAGAAGGCAGAGATCGATTACTGAATCTTCATTCATAGAATCAACACGAAAGATGCAATAAAAATAACAAAATACCCATACTGGAGGTATGAAAATGTTTACCTTCACTAAAAACAAAGAATATGAGGTGTTAGGACTATAAAATCAGATGTTGAAAACTGTGATTACAGTGACATGATTATGAACAATAATTTGTTCTCGAAGCGTTGTCAATAAAATGATACTGTATTGTATTACTGCAAATAAACAAATCTAATATAAAAATCAAAAGTTGTCAAACCTCATAGGAGAAGAAATGGGATAACAAACAAGGAAATATGATATGACGATTAGGATAAAAGTAAAGGATCGATACAGCCTTGCGACTGATCAATTCTGAGCCATAGTTAAGAATATTTGTAGCTCAGGCGCAGTTTTTGGTTGTATTATGTTCTCTGAGCTGTGTTGTTGAATCGTGGAACTTTTATCATCTTTCTAGACGACATCATCAGCACTAACTCGTTTGAAGTGATTTATCTATATCTCTCCCTGAGTGATTTAGTAACTTGCCCCGACAAACTGGTTTGTGACCGGTTGTTTCCTTTGATTGTTGTGTCATTGACTGTATAGAGTTCCCTGTTGGCTGTTTCACTGCTGACCTTCAACCTTTCTGTCTTTTATCATTTTTCTCATTGGTTGACTGATTGGGTCTATGTCTATGCATCTTTTAACTGCTGACTGACCTGAACGCCAAGTTTCGAAGAATTTTTTGATATTCTGTTTCCTTTGTCGAAGATTTCTACATTGTCAAAATGGAATTCATGTCCATAATTATCCACATGCATTGAAATAAATGATGAAATGTCATGACGTTTTGTAACAAATTGGTGTTTATGTAAATGAGGGCGAATAGGGCGACCACTTTGTCCAATTTGGTATTGACTACAGTTATTGCAGTTGATGTTATAAATAATGTTCGGTTTGTCTTCTTTGGTTGTTGCATTCCTTGATCTGCATAATGGTGTTTGGAGGGAATTTGTTGGTTTATGAGCTATATCAATCCTAAGTGGTCTCAGTAATCTTGTCATGATTTCTGATATAGTCTTTAGGTACTGTAGGGTGATGCATTTGTTCAGTCCTATCGATGACTTTAACTACCAATTTCGTTTGTCAAGTCAACCCATGGTGGGGAAAATGTGTTTCATATATTTATCAGAAGGTAGCCCGGATAATAATCTATCGGAACTAAGTGGAATCGAAATATCCACTTCAGCTAAGTATCTTGTACATCATGATCGTGTTCTCTAGGCTGGTGACGAAAAGTTTACGAAAAAGTATCAAAGCTAAAAGAACACTAGATCACTATCATGCTCATCTTGAGCTACAATCTTCATCATTTATGTGACATGGAGAGCAATTGATTCATCTAGCAGTTAGATAATATAAACAGAAATATATTACCAGTGTATATTTTGTTAACAACTCTCTCTGATTTCCTCATTAATCGGATATCTACGGATATCCATATCGAAAGCATTTTAACTCAGGCTGACTACTGTTACTTTTACTTCCGTGTTGTTTGATAATTGTATTACTATATAATTCATAACTGTTAACGTTTTGCAACTAGAAGTTTGTAAGGGATTTATTCCGAATGGTGTTTGATTGAATAATAATAAATAATGCGGTAAAATGGTTCCAAGTACATAGTTTTCTTGCACATTTGTTTAACTAAACCTGTAAGCCTAAAGTTTTTGAAACGAGTAAAGTGATATTTTAGAATAAACAATACTCTCGCAGTTAATCTCGTTGTTACTGCCCATCTGACACATAACTCTAGTTTGTTCGTCTGATAGCATTCCCAAGACTTCTAAGACATTGGATTAAGCGTAAGCGGTCTTTTAACATTTCTTTCAAACCAGTAAATACTCTCCATATTTAAGTTATATTACATTTTGATTGTATATTGCCAAGTAAGTTTCTTTTGGCAAGTGAAGGTAGTGATTTTATTGGGGTGATCGGTGAGAAGCTACGAACCTAGGTTTCGTGCTTTTTGGCGGGCGTCAGTAAGGTGTATTTACAACCTCGATGGGACTGATGTCCTGTCTAGTGTTCCAACTCGCTCCACTGAGCTATTTTGACAGTGGTTAACCTCCTGTAGGACTGGATTAGATAAATTGATTAGTAACTGTAGGGTGGACAACTTCATGTTGTTTGGTCCTGAATGTTGATTAAATTCTATCGATCGGTTTGTAATGTATCTGTGGTGGATCATTTCGCATGTTGGTAGATTCATCAACATTTCATGATGGAGGATGCTTATTTTCATTAGATGGTAGTGTTCACCAATTCATCCTAATAAAGGTTATATTTGGATGATTATTTTCCAAACTATTTACAAATTGCATAACTCAAGTTGATATTCCCCAAAGTTGAGCAGCTTTCCAACTGCCGGATTTTGGTGTCAACGGAGTTCCTATTGGAACCCATCCAACCAAGATCATAGAGTGTCATCACTGATACGAAATAGCCGCTACTGAATAACGTGAGTAATTAGAAACCAATCAAGGTGATATGCAGTTTATTCTAACAAATTTTTCAGTGTCCCTCGCTTATGAACTCGATTTCAAGTGAGCAAAACAGCTTTCAGTGTTTCGATTACTCTGTTGGGGTTAGCGAAACCTGCAGATAAGCCTAAGTGTTTTCGAGGTGTTCATGTTGTTCAGTAGAATATCTCGAAAAGGTATATTTGATTTCCAATTTTCTAAAAAGTTACTGCTTTTAATTATGCTTTTTTTCGACAGTAAACATTTATGACTGTTATATATAATATATGCGTTTAACAGATATCGTGTCTATTTCTGAGTATGATTATCTGACTACTGTGGATCAAATTAGTTTGAATGAGAATTATGCAGCTGCTTGTGGACCAGATGGAAAACTCACTTTACATTGGGTAAGCAAAATATGTGACAATTATTGATTACTTAAAAGTTCCAGCTTATCCTTCCAAAAAACTCTGTTTCCTCGCAATATTTACAGTAAATAATAAACAATAGACGCAGCACTAAAATATCTAACTGATTAATGTGTGCTGCACAGCAGTTGGCTCTATTCTACTACGTGGTTATAAAAAATGGTCATTATTATAAGGAGGTAATGAAAAGGCTTTAAGTTTTTGATCACAAATTCCTTGTGAGATTGTGCTACCTTATCAGTTAGGCATATATTTTCAGACAGAACAGGTAAGCCAGATGAAATGGCTGGAACATATTCTACGCATATTTCGTCACCGTCTGCTTTGTCGCACAGTGTTAAGTGAAATAGATTTAGGATGTGAAACGGCTAAGGGTGGTCAAACCAAAACATGACATCATTCCATAAAGTGTTTTACTGTTGGCCTCAGCCATCTAGAGAAATGTAAACTTACCAATCGGTGTTCACATGACAGCTGGAATCGGGGTTCTGGAATTCTAGGTTACATAGCTCAGAGTTGATCTCAATAGAGAATATATATTCACACATTATCTTCATCTTATAATCATCGTATCAAATTTCTGTTATACCTTTTCGAATATTTGTTCTCTGCTAGGTAGATCTGCATGGCAGCTTTCGTTTCGGCTGTTACTGCAATACATACTGTTTATTGGCCTAGACTTTTAAGCAATAAATCTTGGGATCAAACCGCACTGCACCCAATTCGACTTGGGCAACCATGCTATCAACCATTAAGTCTGGCCAATATCTCAGTAAAGAAACATGTAACGAGTTATTCAACCACATGAAATCTTAAATTGCGTCCTCTTCTAGCACAAAAAGTTTTTAAAACTAGATTTACTTTCTGCTGAGGATCACAGTAATAAGGTTGCGTTATGCAAAGTGATCGGCCATACTTTCTGTCGTAACCTATAATGTTTGAAATTTTACGATTACATTTCTTTTAAACATTCCAAATCTGTTGGTTACATGCAAAGCCAAGGATGTAAACTATCTGCAATTGAACAGAAGCAATGAAACACAATGGATTTATTTCTGTCTGCAAATTCTCTTCTTCTTCTTCTTATTATTATCATTTGTCCCTTGTGTTCCTAGTGGAACATAAAGCTTCAGTAGTATGCCTGCATTGCACTCTCTTCTCTGCAGTCTTTTCAACCTGGTGCCACAGCTGCCCACAAGCTTTCATTTCTTCCTCACATGATCTCCTCCATGTCACTGTTGACTCAGACACCCAACTCGTCATTTCCCCTTTGGATTCCACTCAAGGGTCTGGTGCGTTATGTCACCAGTCGACCTTCTCAGTGTATGTCCAGTCCAGTCCAGTCCAGTCTATCTCCACTTTCTTCTGCAAATTTGTTGGGTGATAGGTTATTGGTTGGTTTGTTGCCAGCCAGCCAGCCAGCCAGCCAGCCAGCCAGCCAGCCAGCCAGCCAGCCAGCCAGCCAGCCAGCCAGCCAGCCAGCCAGCCAGCCAGCAAGCCAGCCAGAGTTCCTTGTTGCTTATTCTTATTATTCTGTCCATCTGATCTTGAGTATCGAGTGAGCGTAGGTGGCAACTGTTGATGGATGTCTGTAGTTTGTTGGAAATGCTTTTCGTAATTCCCAGTGCTAACGTTTTAATTCAACAAACTAATGGGATATCCACTGTCTTTGCGTGCAGATATCTTATGAATAGGATGTACAACATTAAAAATACCCATGATGAGTTAACTTAGATAATATTCCAAGATATAACAAAGAAATATGAACCACTAAGTCGCGTAGCTTGAAAAGTATTGAAATATTCATACTTTCATTGTACATCTGTATTCCTTTTCCAATATAGGTAACTTTATTTAGAAATTGGTGAATAAACCACCCTAGTGTTTAACATATTTCATTCTATTCCATTCTATACTCTGTTCTATGATGATGCGTAGCGAATCATTAAAGTCTGACCTTCATTTGATTTGTTCTTCTTGAAGCCAGCCAACTAGCCAGCGAGACAGCCAACCAGCCTGTTTCGGTCGTAATTTGGAATCCAGCGCATCCTTTAGTCTCTCCAAGATGATCGCTCTGGGCGGACAGAAGCCTGATTCTGTACCAGTCCTTACAAAGACTTACGTCAGCCACACTTCTTTGGGAGTTTGACAAGGTAGCCCTCCTTCCAGTCGATCGCCATGGACCTTTCCTTCCTTCCTTCCTTCAAAACCTTCTGTAGTAGGGGTGTGAGCATGTCCACTGCTGATGTCCCTGCAGCTGCTTCCAGTGCCTCTCGCAGAATTCAATCTGGTCCTGCTGCTTTCCCACACTTCAGCAGTTTTGTCGAATTCAGGACATCTGATCTTGTCGGAGGGCCTGTGTTCACTGGTAATTGTGCCGTTGCTGGTGGTATTTTCTGGACGTTTTGCAGGTGGTGGTGGTGGTCGATTCAAGAGTTTTCTCAAGTGGTCAGCCCATCGTCTCCTTTGTTTCTCCTCTTTGCTAACTAGCTTTCCTTCACTATCTTTCACTGGTTTCGTCTGAGTTGATCTCTTCCCAGGTAGTAACCTGGTTATTTGAAACAATGTTGTCAGGTCTCTACTACCAACAGCCTGTTGTGCTTCACTTGCCAATGTGTCTTAGAAGTGTCTTTTGTTTTTCCAAGCACTTTTCTTCGCTTCTTTGTCCAGTGTAGTGTTTTATATGTTGTGTTCAGTTCCTCTTTTCGTTGTTCATCCTTGCACTGGTTTATCTTCTGCTTCACCATCACCATCTTTCTCTCCCTGTTCTATCAGCTTCCATGTGCCCGTCAAGATCCATTTCTTGTCCTGTTTTTTCATCCTTCCTAATATGGTTATGCAGGTTTTTCTCCATATCTCTTTCAAAGAGTTCTTGTGTTATTCCACGCGCTATCCTTCAGGGATGTTGCTCAATGTCACCCTTTTTGTCCTGACGGCTGAAGGGAAGATATCCTTTGTAGTTTTGTTCTTCTTTTTCTGGGTATTGAACTTGAACTGTGGTCTATCACCAACTTCCTTAAAAGCTTTCAACTTGATTTTGAAGGTAGGTTGCTTGGACTAGATGGTGAGTGGTGTGAACCTACATCTGCTCCCCTTCTTGATCTTGTGTTCAGTAGGCTGCCTCTCCACTTTCTTCACATTGAGAAGTTCTCTGTCCTTCGTAATCACCCTACAACTTCATGTGGCTAACATGAAAAGCTTGCATATGTTTATTTATTTGTTGAATGATCACTTCCAATCTCGAAACAGACTAGCCGCCGTTAGGTTAAACTTTTTGGTAGGTCGACATATTTTAAGAAAAGTAAACTCGTCTGCATTAGTCGTAGAAGTGATTTGATGCAATAAACATAAAATATTCAGTTTGCATTCTGAGTTTAATGTGAACTGAATGACAAATTAGTACACAGTTAAACAAAGCAGTACAACCCAGTACAATTTTGGGTTATTTGACAATGTTATGCTTTGGATCAGAAGGAAATAAGGCAGTGAAGAAAGTGATGATGAAAAATAGATACAGGTAACAGAAGGGACTGTAGAACGGTGAAGTGTTCACATATTTAGAGAAGATTAGCTGTGCATTTATCTACTCTTATATGATGAGTTTTTCATTCGCATAACTTAGTCTAATATAACTGACATCAGGGAGCTTACTTCGCCCATATTTGGAATTTTTTAACACTGTAACCATCTATACCTGTCTTCACAAGTAACCATGAGGTGTCAATACTAAGCATAAGCACATCATTTTATTTTCCAAATTATGGTATAAGGCCCATCAGTTTGTATTGTTTAAAATCATTCAGAGTTTACTTCTTTTTGTCACTGAAGTGTTCAGTGTTTACCAAAGTGTTATACTTGTACTTTTTGATTCTGATAGTTATGTACTCATTGGTTTCCTAGTAACTAAAACTAACTTCGTATCCCATAAACTTTTGTCGTTTAGGTATAATCTTAGTCATGTTCACTTCCTGTTTGTGCATGATTATAGGAACTAATTTACTTTTATGCAAGGGTTTTACGCTGATATGTTTGTCTCGAAAACTGAAAATTCTTATAAATGAATAAGTATGTTAATCCAATGAAAGAAAGTCATTAGTAATTGTATCCTTTTGCAGCTGAGCTGCATGATCGGTACAAAATGGAAACGAATTCGCACCAATCATCTTGTAGCATTTGTTAGTATAGAGCTATAGCTCAGTGTTTTATATAATCAAATACCATCCGTCAAGCCTATAGGTTAAAAGCCTTTCTTATCTACTGCTGAAGTTCACAAAGGCTGTGAAACATAACCTAATGCTTAAATCGAAAAACAGTTGAGGAATTAGCAATAATTATGTTAGCAAAGTATTATTGCCAATTGATTTCAGGGTTTATGGGGTGTTAACACGTGATGTATCAGTAGTACATCGTAGTCTTACTTTGTCGTATCTGAAAAAAGGTTGGTACTGTGCAAATTTATGCAAAATCGTATAGAATTTCTTCTAGACTTTGCACCTAGTATTTGTTTGATCTTAACATTTGTCTTTTTACTTAAAACAATATTACAAACTGTCTTGAAGACTATTTGAAGGCCAGTATCATTGTCCAAGAAATGTAAATACTGCACAACAGTTGATAGTTCTGGAACCAATTTTCAGCAAGTTGATAGCTGCATACTGTTCAAGATTTTTCCATATAGGATAGAACAACCACCCAGTAACATTAAAGTTTGCGTGATTTTCAAAATTATATTGAAGCATAGTAAAATCGTCACATTTTAGAATACTCATAAAAGCTATCCCACTGTTAAATGGAACTGAAATCCTTCAATATTCAATCTTTGTTGATTTCTAGAAGAAATTCCTAAATTAAGTTTAATTCGAGTTTCATAAGACTTTTCTTTTTTCCATCTACTAGATAAATCCGAAAACATTTCCTGACAAATCATATTCAAATAAAAAACAGAGTGGAGTAAATGATGTTTCCCAAGGTGATGTTGCTAAAGTGTCGAGGGATTCTTGCATATTTCCTCAGTCATCCTCAATGGATTCAATGGTTACTTCATTCAAATTGACAAATGACTTTCTCATATATTCAACAAATGTAAGTTACTTAACTTATCCGAAAATTGGCTACTTTTCATGGAGTAAATGAAACCTTAGAAAAAGGGATATAAGATATGAATGCATTTTTTAAAAATATTGAAGCATGCATTCAAGAAGTTTAACATGCTAACTGGTACCAGTAGATTCGGTGTAAGGAAAATAAAAAAATGGAAAAGTACAAGCATATACAAATAAATAGACTTGTTTTTTTGAGATTGATTGATTTTAAGGTGATACAGATGATGCAGTGACATAAATTAAAGAACCTTTGAAAATCTAGGAAGACTGGTTAGGTATTTTGTCCCTGCATATGATTCTTCAGTGAGCACCGAAAACCTACTAGTGGCTTTACCTAGAACCACTGGGTCTTGTGATAAACACTTTACCATTGATTCAAGACACAATGCTTAACATTTTCCTACTTTTTTCATTTCACGATACGGCGAAGCCATCATTCGATACCATCAGTGAGTATTTGTCCTTACAAGTGGTTTGACTGACCTTGGAGTTCACGATTTCTCACTAGAACTTTGGGAAATCATTCTTGAGGTGTATCACAGGTGAATAATATGCAATTAATTAAGCTTTAAGTCATTTCTTGCGTGAAGTAATTACATTTACTGGGGTATAAACAGTAGTACACTATTCAGTGAAATGCTAGAACTGTTCATGGGAGTAATTATTTCCACAGCAACATTTCGTGGCGAACCAAAATATTAAAGGACGCTTCGCAATTTGGATATACACATTGTTATTATGCCACAAAGAAATGTTTTAGATTGACATTACTCTCTCAAGTTATGCTGCATTATGACTATCTTTTCCATAAATATGGAGTAGTTTTTATTGGTAATTTCTTTGATTTTACAGGAATTCATTATCACACTTTAGTGAATCACTTTAAAAGTTTGTAGTTAGTTATCATCAGATCATTACCCATTTAAATAATCTTTGAAAACAAGGTAAAATAGGTGATATTTTCCGTAATGAACTTATGACACCATGAGAATGTCTAGACTAACTCAATGGTAACGTTGCTGACCGCATTACTGAGCGATGTAGTTCAAAACCCACAAAACGACGTCGCTTCCCTCGAATATGCAGATAGACCTTGTTGATAAGTCTTGAAAAGCATGGAACGTAGGTCTAGGGCTATCTGCTGTTTGCCCCTGACCAAGTAACATTCTAAGAAAAGTTCAGATTGATTATAACGAATAGAAAACAGCTTTAATTAAAAGGTGATATCATAGAGAATTCCAAAAATATAAAAAGTTGACTGGTACCTGTTGCACAAGAGGTGGCTCTCGTGTCTTAGCGGCCTAGGTGATAATGCTCCGGTGTTTGAAGCAGTAGGTACTGGGTTTGAGTCCTTGTGAGAATACCATGACTTGCCATGGTGCAGACACATACAACTGTTGAATCTCGAATAGGACGAAACGCGCGTCCTTCATTCCACTGCTTGCTATCAAGAACCAAATTGTAAGGTAAGACTCATAATACTTTCTGAGACAACCATGATCAAATCGATGGCAATAGTTTCTACAATATCAAACTTTAGCTTGAACTTCTAACATGCCACAGTATATAAAATAAATGTTTGGGAATCTCTTGAATTTTAGTCTTATTTCTTCAATGGCGAGGTGGACACTGTTTTCGGCATATAATACAGTTAATTTATTGTTCAGTTCTGTTATGAAACTGTTTTTATGTATGCTTTTTCTTGGTTCTTTATAGAAAGGGAAATTACTTCACTTTAATATTTCTAATTGGAACTACGCTAACAGTTACCATCATAATTGTGCTATATTACATATTTTTCCTAATTCAACTGGAACGCGTGTGGCATTCATTGATGACACAGCTATGGCTTTCATTTATAATCCAGTAAGTATTTTTTATTATTATGAAAATGACCACATAAACTGAAAGTAAGTCTGGGCTACAGTGAAGTAGTCACCATATTATTGATAAGGTTTTCGTCCAACTAAGTAGTGACTGTCAGCCATTAATTAAGTTTGCATTTCATTTCATTCGTGGTCATTTTCTTTCGTCTGTTTTGTAGATGAGAAACAAGCGACTTGTGATTGAAGTAAAAGTAGAATGAATTTACTAGTAGGATATCTCCATCAGAACAACAGAAAACTAAGTAGGCTAATAGCCTGAAGTAACTGAGACTTTTTAGCTGCACTTAATTAAGTCTGTTCTGATGAAGTCATCAAGTCAATTAGCAAAACGCCCATACTTAGGTTCCAGGCCTTTGATGATTACTATCAGGACAAACTTAGTGTGAGCGATGTCGCCCAGATAAACAGTAAAACATTACTACTATTTATTGACTGACCTACTTATAATTTTCCGTTGTTTTATCGGATCAAATTGTTCGAACTCTGCTATCCAAAACCAAACTAATTACCATAATTAACATTCAGGCAATATCGAGGCATCCATATTGGAGCCCATATGCTAATAGTGATCGAATAATTCTATCCAACAAAACAACGGAAGGTTACAAGTATATCAATAAATAGTAATAACTAATACCCGTTGTACGAGAAGTGGCTGTCGAGTCTCCTTGGCATAGTGGGTAACGCCTTGGTGTTTGAAGCGATGGGCACAAGGTTTGAGTCTCGGTGGGGACAATATCACTCACTGAGGTGCAGACGCATCCGGTTGACGAGTCCAAAATAGGACGAAACATGCATCCTGGATTCTTCTGCTAGCGACAACCAAAAAAAGTACCAGCAGAAGACTGCGTTATTCATTGTCACCTCCTAGAAAGGTCAAGTTTTTGAGGAAGTACTTTCGACTTTTATGCACTACCGTTGTATGTAACTAAAGGTCAGCTTTCACTGCTGTATTTTATGTGGGTTAGTTGATTCATCCATTTGCGGCTAACATAAACTAACCAAAATTATACTCCTAGCTTATTTTATTGACTCATGTGCTACTACTACTACCGTGGCACTGATGATAAGGCATCAATTACATTCCATTGTTAGATGGTTTGAAACGATCGGCAGGAAGTCCTTGACGTATATTTTGTGCTTGTTGGCACTCATCACCAAGACACATCTGGAACCTTGAGAGAACTCATATCCCTTGTGAGAGTGGGACCAGCGCTATCCAGTGCTACCGTCAGAGAATTTACCACTGAGCTATTTGGACCGTGACTGATTTCCTGCAGGACTTGACTGAATACACTGTGTGTTCACCAAAGGATAAATAATTTCATGTTGCCTAGTTCTGTGTGCCAACTGGATTCTTCTGGCCATTTTGTAATATGGCCTCCGAGCTTGGATATTCAGCATTTATGTGCACTCTAACTTCGAAAAAGATTTAAAATATCCACAGTCGCCTTAAAAAAAGGTGAATAGTTCACTTATGACGAAATTGATTGGTTTCAGATTGCGTTGTTATGAAACTTTGAAAAATGACTGTGAATGTCTTGTGACTCAACCTTAAGTAACGCACACAGTTTGGGTGCATTTAACGGACTCTGACCTTTACGGTAATCAATTTTTTGACACAGCATATTTGTGCATTTAAGTTGTAGTCACTACCAAGTAATAATTATTGTTGTTATCATCAGTTTTCACTTATATTGTTATTTCACGTCTTTTTTTCACTATTGAGATCAATGACCAACTTATAGAAATTCCAGAATTTTGTCCTTCAACAAATAATATTCTATGGGACTTAGAAGATACAGAAAATGCAAGTGATCTGTTATTTTATAAAACTAAATTATTTCTAATTACATTTGTTTATCTACTGAAATAAAACTCAATTTTATTACCTTGGGCACTCCCTCATAGCTTAATTAATGGTTGAAAATGATTCGATAACATAGTTTGCGGTCTGATTTCAACCGAAAACCATCGGATTATCAACTTGCAGATATAGTGACTGGGATGAGGTTAAACTGTTTACCGAATCTGAATTTTGCTAAAAGTACTGAAGTTTTGGGTTAGAAGTCATAATAGTGAGTGATATGTATTTGTCTGTTTGTCATTAAACTAACTTCCCTACCATGCCTTATTCCCTAATTTCAATTAAACTGATTCAGACAGGCGGAAACAATTTCAGTACTCGCTAGACCAATATAATTTGGTAGTGTTTGACAATAAATTCCGTAAAAAGATTGTTTGTAGAATTAGTGACTACTCAATTGTCTTCTAAATTTTGTTGTTGTATGCCACCCAGTTAAGAACTAGAACCTGTAAATTTTTGCACCACAGTCTTACGATAATATATTTGTAGTCACATTGGTGTTTCCTTACGGTGAGTCTGTATTCCAGTAAATATTGATGGCTTATGCTGAGAGAATAAAAGGCATGAACTTCCAGTGATGTACATAAAATTGAAGGTTGTTGTTTGTTTCTGATAGAGTATAAAATGAAACTCACAATAACTTTTTTAGCTAATCCAGAACACTAATATTAATTATACCCTGAGTAGTAGACAATAAGTATAATGCTTTTATCAGCGTACCCCTCAGTGAAGGCTTCTACATAAGATAGTCATGCTAATAAGAAATACTGTCAGTTAAGTTGCTCTCGTATCCGACGCTGAGTTCCAACCACTATAATAGAGTCAACTGGTTCTAATAATTAAATGTTTACTACGATGAATTAGAGCCCTATCCTGAACTTGACGTGAAGGTCAAAGGTAGATAGCTTGAGTATTACCACTATTACTACTTCCGTTGACGGATGTAACTATGTTAGTGGTTTAGACGACGAAGTAGAGTCCATAAAATTATATATTGTTGGAGTATACCAATTAAGTACAGTGTGAGAAAAAAGATTATTACTTCTGCAGAAGTGAATTTATAGGCTTATAAAATAAACATCTAACTAATAATTGAGTTTGGTAAATGCACTTGACTGGGATTATTGAACATCGGATGAAATATAGTTGACATGATTACTGCTTTGATCAAGCTTTTAGTCAGTAAAATTTTGAGCGGTTACAAAGGTTTTCTGTACTGAACTATAAAGGAAATATAGACCATTTGGAGATAATGAAGCCAAAGCAAATTGTATTACGATTTTACTACAAATGGTAAAATATGTAAATACCATCATTCGACGTCAGTTTAATAGCTTCAGATTAGAGATTTAGAGGCATGGATCCAAGCTATCAAGTTATCACTAAAACACATTTTGGCAGTTAGGTAGTTTAAATAGATATTACACAACTCTTAGGTTGATAATCGCCAACATATACTTACAGATAAAATGATTTTGTTAAAAATTCTGTGTATAAGTATGACGGCATGAGCTTTCTCATCTATGCGAATAAATGTACATCGATCGGTGTACGCTACCAAATGCTTCGCGAGCCGCGTTCCGTTTGAGGAATTCTCCAGTTTGTAAGTAGTTTTGAAAATTCTTAGGGCAGAAATTTCGATTTGCTTGTAACCACATTACATGTAATGTGTTTGATAATTTGTACAATTTTTGCTTATTGCAAATACATTCCAGTTAGTGAATATCTATGCCTAATTTGAAATGTTTCTTTAATGTTTTAATTATTTTCAGCCTTTATTAATCGCTTATGACAATTTACGAATAAGTGTTTATCGTTACTTCATGAATGAATATACCTTGGTCAAATCATCAATACCAATAGGAAATAGTAGATGTGACACTCAACAGCTGAATACTTCATCAACTCAACAAACCACTGGAAAAAATGTTGACAGTTCAACTGCTACTGATTCTAATTGTATAAATAATAATATCAGTGGTAATCATAATGGTACAATAGTTTCTATTACTAATCAACATGATTTCAAAAAAAAGTTACTGGAGCTACTTGTAAGCCTTTGTTTTATACATATTTACTCATTTTTCTCACTAATTTTTATTCCCTCCATCATACACTCTACTTCAGCTTCAATTTTATTACCAGTTAGATTTGTATTTATTGGCTTGTGATTGAATGTAAGGATAGTTGACGACCAAAAGATAGTTAATCAGTCCCAGTAATTTCCAAAGTGTATTGGCCTTTTGTCTCATTGAAAGTGCCGAACGCCTTTATTGTATGGAGGCACAAAGTATGCTGAGCTAGCAACTACTCAAATGCGCAATATTAGCCAAACTATGAATGATTTTAAAGAATGCTAAGTGTGATTAAATTATCTCATAATATCAGCTGATGAAGCCTTTGACCGTTCATCTGAGTAGTATAGAAAGATGTAGGTTACTTTGTTCAGATCCTTGGGACGATGAAAACCAAGGGTTGGAGACGCTTAGTGATGTGGCTCAAAATCAGTCACAGTGACACAGATATATGCATCCTTTGGCTTCTTTGAAGGATTGAATATTTTCATTGACCTTCCCATTTGTTTTGTTCTCTCTCCTAAAATCATTTTGTTAGCCTCTGTCATTCGTGTACATCTATGCCTTTCTTGAATGCTTATGTGAAGTGTGGCAACTTGATTAGTGCATTTTTGTCAGGCTATAAGTTAATCTGTCTATCTCTGAAAGCTGATAACTTAAATAGAAAGAAATGAGCCCTTTAGAGTTGTTCAATTTTGAATACCCTATGCTACTGGCACGTAATATACGAAATAATTGAGTCATCTGCTTAGTTAGACCACATAGTATCGAGGAATAGCCATTTCGATCCAATGAGATCAGTAATAGAAAATGAATTCTTCAACTAATAAAGTACATTTTCTATTGATTGGAAGTTTGGCGCCAAGATACCTTCAATAATATCTTATTAGATGAAGAAATGGGCCTCTAGTAAATATAAAATAAATTTTCCTAAAGCTACTGAATTAAAACTTTTATTCTTGATTTCGTTACACAGAATTACGAATTTACAGTGACTAACTGATGAGTTATAAATAGGATGAAACGTACATCCTTGATTCCCCTTATTGATGAAACTGATTACTTGTTCGTCAGTCAAATTAGCAACATATATTTTACCACTTGTATGTGATATTTAACAAATCATCATGCACCTAGAGATTGTAATGATTAGAGCTTTGAAATCCTAAAATGACAATTATCGTTTTTCTTTGATAAACTGAAGTATGATAAGCGCATGAAAAAGTCTTTATGTTTGCAAACCTAACTCACTAATATCTCATAAATTTACCAGACAAACTACAAACGAAGTAGTATTTATCACTACAAACTTTGTCAATAGTATAATTAACCCTTATTCTGCTTAAATAACTCAATTGTTTATTCTTCAAGAACGCCTTATTTTCATTTATTCACTTCTATTGTTTGAATCAAGAGTTTTTTAAACAACTTTACCGTTATATAGTGAATAAAATAGAGATTTTTTGGTGGATTATGAGGTGATTATTGAAAATCATCTATAGAAATGTGTATGACTTTAAAAGCCACCCTAACAACGATATCAATTACCATTCCGACTGACAAGGCAGATTCGTCTAAAATAACGAAATTTAATTGGTTATTTTAGTTGTTGTTGTTGTTGTGGTGCCACCTGGAGTTACTCAACAGAACACTAACTTCACTTCTGAAGCAGAAATAATCAAGGTGATAATACCATGATTAGTTCAATAATAGTCTGCTTGTGTTTGAATGTAAAACTCGAAATTGGAATCCACGTAGATGAAATGGGTGATATCTAGTAGTTTATCCTTAGTAATTATAAAATCTTATTTATTCAAGCACTATGGAAAGCTATTGGTTAACTAACATTTTTTGCATTTAACTATCTTCAACCTACTGCTGAGGTATATTCATTTTAACATAGAAAATATGTTCTTTCTCGTGCTCGTTCGTTGATTACGCTGAATTTATTTACATAAGCATGAGTCATTTTGTACACACTTGGTTAATCACTGAATCCCTCTAATTGCCCATCTGTTCTTCGATTTATTATAAAAAACCGAGACACCAACATACACACCTTTCTTTAAACACAGCCCTTCATAATTTTTGGATCACTAATTATTGTTTATGCTTCTATTCTTTTGGTCCTGATTACTTGAAGTTGGGAAGTGTCATCTGGTTGGAGTTATGCGTTTACCTTATGGTCACTTACCATTATGTATAGTAAATGGTGAATTGTGTATGCTTAGCCCAACTGGACGCCTATTACATCAAACATTGACAACTCATCAATTTCGAGTCTATGGTAATTTCATGTTTTAACTAATTAACTAAAATATATTCTCTTCGATTACCAGCTGTTCAACAAGAAAATAAAAGTTTGCATAGATCATCTGTTGAACAGATCAAATGCAACACCAGTGAACAAAAACGTTCAACCAAAAAGGACTCTGATTTTACAGGAGGACTAAAAAAGTTATCTTTTCAGGAAGTAAGTTGATTAGTTTTTACAATCCACAAATTTTATATTTAATGGCAGGATTTCATGTGAAATAAAACTATCCACCACACATAAATGGTTTTAATATTTTCTGTGTAATTCATATGTACAGCTTCTTAGCATTTATCATTAAAATGCTGATAAGCATTTGTATATACCCTGAGAAACAAGTTTCTATGACCATTCCAATGATATTTTAATCATCTGCAGAAAAGTATTTCAAATTCCTCAGGAAGATATCTCCTAACTAAGGAGAGGAGATTGAAGGAGTACATCTGCACCATTCTGTCCAATGATTCAAGCGACAAAGTTTCTAACTATTGTTTCCTATCAATTCGATGATCTCTTATGAAGAGTTCACACCTTTTTACACATATCATATCTTTATCTTAATTATTTAGATCGTTACCTATTTTGAACAAGCTGTAAAAGCCGGTTGTTTCGAGGATGCAGAGATATTTGTTGAACAATTGGATTCACATCATTTATGGAGTCAACTTGGCATGAGTTGTTTACGTGTTATGAAATTTGATATGGGTACGTCTATGAGATAAACGTTAAACTATTTTCTGTTTACTTCATACTATTATGGTTACTATAACCTTTAATCATTGGGATTATTCATACTGGACGATTAACATAAATGGAGAATATGATTGTCCCAACTTGACTAAACAACATAAATTATATCATTTTTAAAATTATACTTAGAGATAACCGAACAGTTGTATCACACAGTCATGCTCATTTGTAATCTTTATAATATAAAAAGATAATTTCGATTAGTGTTAGGAGTATGAGTCATCAGAAGATGACCATTCCGATGATCGCCAAGGAGTTTAAGAGCCACTAAAACACTGAAAACAACTTTGATTGCCATCAGTTTATTCCGAATCATGTAATTTAATGGCAGTTACTCTTACGGTGTATCGCCAGATGGCAATACAGTGATCTTTTAAAAAGTTCTTATGTCCACCGCAAGCAAAATATTAGGCCGTATCATCCTGGAGAGACTAAAAATTGCCCTGCATTCAAACTTATGACCGGAACAGGCTGGCTGGCTTCAAAACGAAGTAATCATGTGAGGATCAAGTTGCAACGCTACCCTGCGCATCATCATAGAACAAAGCATAAAATGGCAGTCAACTGGATCTCTACCTCAACTTCATAGACTTCGAAAAGGCCTTGCTTCGGCAGCGTCGACCGAGAAGTAATTTTGCAGGCAGCTGGTTGAACACTACGCAGTGGCACAAATCTATATCAACCTCATTCAACAGCACCTGTATGCTATATGATGCTACATGCTAAGTGATTGACAATGGAAAGCTCAATGACGCCTTTAAATTCAAGACAGAAATAAGATAAGGCTGTCTACTATCACCGATGATCTTCTTGATTGTGGTCGACTGGACTGTGTCGTGCAACAAACTGTGAGGAGCGAGAAGATGGGCATATCCTGGATGAACTGATGAAATTACCCTGGAAGAAGATTTGGACTTCGTCAACGATGACTTGTGTCTAATATTGCAAAAGCTCACCAACAAGTTGACAGAAGAGGCTAGGCAGCGAAGACTGAACTTAATTCATGCGAACGTAGAGAAGACAAGGATGATGAAGATACCCAACCAACAACAACAAGCGTTAATCACCATAAACGGGAGAAACCTAAACGATGTCGTCTCTTTCGACTACCAACATGGGCAGCGTCATATTAACTACAGGAAGAACAGATGAATATGTCAACGCCACGATCGGAAAGACAGCATGACAGTGTGGAGATCTACTCCACTACACACCATTACACTCAGCATAAAGCATGAAAAAGATCCTAATTTTCAACACTAATTCAGTTAAGTCAGTCCTTCTATATGGTTGAGACTAGGCGCATTACGAAATGAATTCCTAACAAACTGCAGACCTACATCAACGGCTGCCGCCTACGCTCACTCGATACTGAAGATCAGATGGTCAGAATAATAAGAATAAGCAACAAGGAACTTTCACCTAGAAACAAAACAACCAAGAACCTATCTCCCAACAAATATTCAGAAGAAAGTCGAGATAGATTGGGCATACACAGAGAAGACCATTTGGGACTTCATGCACGTGGCCAGGCCGTCGAGTAGAACACAAAGGGAAAACGACGAGTCGGGCGTCTGAGCCAACAGTGGCATGGAGGCGATCATGTGAGGAAGAAACAAAAGCTTCTGGGCAGCCGTGGGGCCAGGTTGGAAAGATTGCAGAGAACAGAGTGAAATGAAGACGTGCTACTGAGGCCCAATGTTACACCAGGAACCCAAATGACAAATTATCAATAAAAATAATAATACATTGAAGACTCACTTTGTGAGCAGTCGACCAGTATTCATATCGTTTTGTCATTCGGTTTATTATGTCAAACCCCAGCAGACTATGAAAAGCTAATTTCACGCCACAAAAACTTAGTACAAACAATGTTGTATTGCCTAGCGTTTTTTATAGCTTGGGATAAACTACGTGTAAAACAAGCATTTATTTTTCTTCAAAATCTCTTCATATTCTTCACCCACATAATAAAAACTTTCAGAGTTATTCAAGCCGAGTTAGTGGGAAATGTATTTTCTCTAAGCAAAAGGATAATTTCTGGTCATAAGGAGACCAATTTTAAGCTTATCAGATTCTGAGACGACTTGTGTTAGTTGGGAATCGAATGGGATAGTGGATAGCATCAAACGGACAATGAGCAGTCACAATACATAACAGAAATAACATGAGGAAGGAGAAATAAATAGAAAGTTGGAGATTACACCACTTGTAAGATGAGCAAACACTATGATATGGAGAGGAAAGAGGGAGGGAAAACAATTGGGATGGACTTCAACATTGAAGTGGTCGATGTGCAAACTGCTTGAAGCGGTAACGTACTTTAAATAGTATTACTAACAACTTGTTATTACTAACTGAGAAGCGACAATCAATGTGAGAAATCTCTGCAGAAATTTGACAGTATTGGAAACAAAAGAAGGAATTATGAAAGCGTTAATAGAACAAGGAAGCAAAAGAATCTGAAAAGAAAACGAATGGTTGAATGTATATGAAAAAAGCAAAGGATAGAACTAGAGGGATAGCATGCAGGTCATCGAGTAATGGATAATCGATTCAAAGGCCATTTTGGCAAATTCAGCCTGCAAGACACTAAAGCAGAAATTTTATTCACAGCCTAATTTTTCAACATGTACTGGGTTAACATACGTTGTTTATTATTGTTGCTGTCTCTCTTCAGTTTGTCGATGACCAAGAGAAAAGCAACACCTTACCGTATTACTTCTGATAGCAGAGTTTTTAACTGGTTGATTTTATCAGCACAACTTGAATTGTATGAAGAACACGTGGATGGACTGCAAGTAGCAGTGTTCTTGTATTCGATGTATTACAGTGAAGTCTATACTGTCATTTACGTGATGCCCATTTATCTACCAAGTGAGCTAAAATGGGATGTGTATATTTTTGTATTTTCAGGCGCACATGAATAACCATACAGCCTATTTAACGTGTTGCATCGGAACAGGTAATATGACGTCACCGAGTGAGGAGAGGAGATTAGATAAGGTATCCTGTAGTCATAGACTTAACGTTGACCAACTACTAAGTGATACGCATTGATGGTCCGAGTAGACTGTTCCACTTGCTGCTCTGCTTAGGCATTTTCACAGGATATCACTTGTAGTATCTCCCTTGACTGCTTCAATTGCAGAAAAACTAGTTCGCTTCTCCAATGTCCTCAGTAAACGTTAAGGGGCTATGTAGACAAGATTTGGGTCAGAAAACTTGACAGGCTTTAGATTTACACTTGCAGTATCATCTACACTCACAGTGCCTAATTATCCATTTGACTGTTTTGCATTCCCGCTACACTGCCACAAAATATCGAAAGTGTACATAGCAAGACTTAGCTGTCAGTCTGCCACATGTACTTCTTCCTCTAGAACCATCTCCTTCGCTTGTCGTCAGGATATTGTACCGACTTCATTAGTTCAGTATCCTAGATGAAACAAACTGCTTGATGAACACTGTTAAAATGAAATGATCCGGAATTGAATTGCTAAACTGAAAACGGATGCTCTATATATCTTACGACAGTCAGTGTATCGAACTGATGAACACTGAGTGGGCATTAACTTCTCATTCTAGCAATAATTCCTTTCGATGCATTTCAGGAATTCTGGCACTAAAGAAAACTCTATGCTGATTGTTTCCAAATGTAATCTACGATTACAAAAAGAGGGAAATGGATTAGCTAACAGGGATGTGACATGAAGAGATGGCATGCATTTTTCTCTAACATCTAAGTATCCATTCTACCGACAAACTTTAAAATCTCTTCAACTCTATAGTTGATTAGTTTATCAATCAATAGTTGAAGCAATTGTACCAGCTACCTCACGATCACACAATAATATGAGTCTGACATCTTCATGATATAATGTAATGAAAAGGCGCCTCAGGTTTCTGTAAATAAATTTGGTTTACGTATTTCAGGTAGTCTATACACACGTGGTTTCTTCTTTTGTATAGTTTTGAAGTTCTCAAATGTGGTAGAAGAAATTCACCTGTTGGCCTTCATTACTTTTGGTTGAGGCAATTAAATCGTTTTTTCCTTTTCGGTGAGGTACTTCATGGTCTCCATTTTCTGAGATTTGTTTTCATCTTGTGATGTTGAATCCTCTTTGGTTGTGGAGTCACCTACGATTGTGATTACACTCCCATTGCTTTTATTCAAATTAGTGGTGATGGCTTTCTGATTTATTCTGAGTCTTTCCCTAGCTCGATGATGCTCTTCAGTCGATCAGACTGTTGCTGTATGATCACTATTTTCACTAATAGCAGCAGTGTACTAGAACTGGTATAAATGATTTCCATTCTATAACAGATGGAGCAACTGAATCAACAGTTTGTGTGAAAGTGGTCAATCTGTATACCCATGTCTATTTACCTAACCTATTCACAAGTGTCAAAAAAGTCAGACAAGAAGGATGATTTTTCTAGTTATAAAATATCGATGATCACACTAGAATATTTATGAACGAACCACTCTGAATTAATTGGGAGTTCGCATTGTAGTACTTGACTTTTTAACCTGTTTAATAAATAAAACAATTTCTCAACCAAGTAAGACTGTGCGATTCGATTCACATGTTCCATAAATTGAAATCTTAGATCTTCTGATATATCAAAGAAAGCATAGCACTTTCCTGATTTGAACTGTATCGGACTTAGTGCATATCTTCGCTTAGATTTCAATTCAAAATCAGTTTGTTTGCAGTGCTGGATACACATTCTGTTTCGGAAAAATGTATTTTACAAAAGTGTGGCGTCTGTGGTGATGAATAAATCAGTTATATGACTGCATAATCTGTAGACAATCCATCAAAAAAATATACTTATAACATACTGTCTTCTAAAAAGGATAAACAGAAGCAGATGTCATGTACAAGGCTGCTCGATTACAAAACGATCACCCAAGGAAACTAGTAACTACAATTTCAGTAGTGTGCATA